TTTGATGATGCCTGTAAACTGGCGTCCCTTATGTACTGTGCTATGAGAATAAATTTATTTATTTATATCTCTGTTATTTAACATTGTCAATGAAATATACGTAGATTGATGGTCATTGAGAATGAAAGCTAGCCTCTGAATGGTCAACTGGGTGGCGTTCTAATGGTTGTATTTTTTATTCCTGCGTTTTTTAAGCAGCTCGAGAAACGAGTCAGCTCTTGTGACCGCCACTGATGATTTAACCACTTTGAATATTGTACGTCTTCGTACTTACTTTCTTTGTTAGCCAACGTTTGCTCTTCCCCGCATTAACATTTTCCATCGCTTTTTTCAATTTCGACCATTGCACACTGACTGAGCTCTCAATGGGTAAGCCTGGGCCTCGTAGGCCATGCCTGAAAACGAAAGTAGAACAAAGTTGAGAGCAAACAACCGGCATACCCACATGGCACCACTTCACTCTTCAACTCATTAACGAGATGTGGCCTTAACTATCCGATTTCTCTGAAGCTGTCACCGAAATTACTTGCAGTTATGCCTTCTTCTCGACAGCTTTTACCATAACCGCCAACTACTATAAACACTTTTATAAAAATGAGGCTGACTACAGCAGTACCGCACGATAGTCTTTGCACAACTTTATTTGCTCCTAGTGCCAGCTATCTCTACTGTCAAATATTCTGCGTCCCCCGCCAGTAACAGTGACGTACGTGAGCTTAAGGTTTTAAATCCTTAAATCCCTAGAATGTGAGACCACTTTCTATAGCCATTTCAAATACATGCTTTTCTAGCAGGAAAACTGAATAAATAGCATGTAGTTGTACTGTGTAGTCTCTCAGTTTCAGTCTGTTTAACACATCGAATCCCATTCCATGATTTTAGCTGAAATATCAGCCAGTGTCACTCAAAACAACTCCGGGATTAAGCAAGATGAAACTTTAACAGAACTAATGCGGTAGAAAACAGTAAATAAAGAATGCATACCCATGTAGCAGACTCGACTTGCAGAAACGCTTCACACATACAGAGACAATGCATTCCGTCAATGTTCACAGACACTGACAGCGGGATCCGATGACAGTTATCCACAACTTCTCAAGGAGCTAGCCGCTCACACAGCCATTTCCCCGACTAAGATCTTCAGGCTTTCTCTAATGAACGGAGTGTAACCGCGTGACTTGAAAGGTGCCACAGAAACCCTCCTTCACAAAGGAGGATCAGAACACTGTCCTTCGAAACACAGAACGGTCAGTCTCACTAGAACCTTAATCAAAACAGTGGGAAGAATAATCAAGAAGGACATCATGGCATATCTGAGGAACAACAGTCTGCTATTCAGAGCACAACATGACTTCAAGGGAGACTCTCATGTCTGATAAACTTTCTCACCATCATTTAAAGCTGGATCAAGTAGAGAAACAACAGAAAACCCATCAACGTCGTTCCATGTACTTCAACAAAGTATCTTTTACAAGACCTATTGTAAGACTGACATGTCTTGGAATCCAAAGGAGCTTAATAAACAGTCCATAGAGAGTCAGGATCAACTCGAAACTCCCCCTTTGGACAGCAGTACATGATGGAATGTCACAGGGTACTCAGGCGTCTTATTTATCTTCTATATCATTAAGTTACCAGTGCTTGCCAAACCTCCTGTGGTACCCTACGAAGATGACTTAAAAATCTAGACAGATCTAAGCGGTGACAATGAAATGCTCACTCTTTGAAAGATTCAAAGAGGAGAGAAAAATTTGTAAGCCAGGCTCTCTTTTTTACTAATGCTAGATGGTAATAAGCTTTATGTCAGAAAATATATGAATATACACTGCAGAAACTTTCAGCGTATTCAGCTCCAAAATACTTTCTCTTCATACAGGATTAACATGTAAAGCATAATCTGAATTATATTGTTTTTCGTAGTGCTGCTGCGGGTGAGGAGAGAGCCAATTCAGTGCATTTTCCCCAATTCCTTCAAGAACTGTATGGTGTATAGTGGGGGACTAATTAAATATGTGTGCGAGTCCATGTATTGGTCATTTGATACAATTGCACGATTATAAAAATAAAAAAGTAGCGCAGTGATTTCGACAGGCCGCCCATTTCACATATTCTTTCATCTGTTTAGCTTGAAACTTTCCTATCGCTAAAAAGCAAGCAGATAATCAGGAGTCTCTAGATATCACAGAGCAGAACTATCCTGATGATTTAAGCGACAAGTTAAAAGAAGGTACCATTACTCATTAATTTGTGTTTTCAGTCCTATAATTCGTTTGTGCACAACTTCTAAAGTAAGTCTACACTAATTTCTCATTCACATGACTCAACAGCTTCGAAGGTGGGTATTACAGTATCACCAGCAGGTGAGATCCCTCTCAAAATTTATTGCGTGAAAATATCAATGATAGATATCTGATGAATTCTTATTACTTCTATTTCACCGAACCTTACTGTCGACATGGATTCATAAAGCGAACAGGATGTATAAATTTCGATGAATGACTAATGCTTCTGTGTTTTGAATATCAGTTATGTACATGCATTACATGCTGTCTTCACTATTCAGTGTGTTTTGCAAGTACACTTTGTTGACGGTATGTAAGCGCCATCAACCATGGAAAGTTGTTAAAAATTAAAGGAGGTTTTGTGGGTAATTCGAGATTCGATTGAATCTTAATTTAATGATAATCTAAATAAATAATTCAATAAGCCTTAGTTTATTTCTAATGGCGTATAGAATTAAGTACGAAATGTTCAACTGCTTAAACTACTGGTAGTTTCCGATTTCCAGGACCAGAAACACATGGCATGGCAACAAAACTACCAAGTTCAATTTCTTTTATTCACTAGCTAATTTTGTACTTCGCAGAATGATGACAGTCTCGCGAAGTAGTGAGCTTTCCATTAGACGCCTCATTTGCACAAACGTTTGCATCAGAAGTCACTATTCTCGTAGATAATGAACAACACAACGAACCAGCAAATTCACTTGCGTGGAAAACGACTCCTAGGAAAGTCGGCAGCACGTACTGGTAAAAAGCGCCTTTATGACGAAATTATTTTAGATGAGCTTCGAAGACGTGATTCTTTTGAAACAGGTGGTATCAGTTGGATAAAAGATATAGTGAATGTGGGCTTCTTATCTGCATTAACACGTCATTTATCTGTACAACACTTTATTGAGAGCGTCGACATTGGTGATTTTCTCAGTTTCCATACCTCACCGAAAAAGTTGAATCCTTCCTCAGCAACCCTAGAATACCTCAAGGATCTCAAGAATCTGTGCGTCGGTGGAACAGTGGTTAGGACTCTCGCCGACCATGCACATGGTCCGAAGTTCGATCCCCTGCCGGCGCACACCCGATATCTATGGTCGGCCTGAATTTGGGCTGCCGATATCCATGCTGAAAGTTCCACACTTGTACTGAAAATACGGTGTGGAATCAAGCTGTAAATAAAAAAATTAAAAAAAATCAAAAAAATAAATAAAGATAACCCCCTAAAATTCACCCAAAATATAAAATTTCTCCTGGAAGCCTCGACATTTACGGAAAATGTTTTATTTTGGAGCATAAAACTTCACTGACTGTTTCGACTAGTGAAGCCCATAACCGATTATGTCCTCGAGTTACGCCCAGATAGACAATGCCACTTCTCCTTACAACATGGGTACGACAACCCATCATTAGCACAAACACATTACGAGAGCTTTTACCCTCGCTTTAACAGCTGCTTTAAGTAAGTCTGCTTTGCGAATCAAGGATATAATTGAGTTTTACAAACAGTAGTAACCAGAGAAAATATTTCGGATTGTGGTGGATGAAACTTAGGGCGCCCCAGTTAGTCAGGCAGACCACCATTGCTAAACGGCACTTTGTATCATGCGCAACCAGGCATGTATACGCGCAACCTAACCTGTAATTGCGTGTTTGGCTTTGTGCTGATTGAGGCTAACACAGAAGCACTACTTTATCCGCCATGTAACTGAAGTTTTGCCCGGAACACCTATTTACCATTAACTGGTAGGTAAATTGTTATTTGTGGCGTATCCAGGCAACTAAAAGAACTCTCCAGATAACATTTATTTATCAGAATGTACACATAAGAAATAAAGGGGCCATTCGCTAACGAAAATTACCCATCTCCTGGACATTTCTTAAACATTCCTTAGGCTGGACTATCACCTAATCCACATGAAGCTTCAGTTGATATTTACGCACAAGCAGTCCATATTTTGAACACTTCTACTCTTTATATAATTTGGCTTACTAACGGCCTGTTCAGTTAACGTAAAATAAGAAGCCCGTTAGTTTTAAAGACAAAGTCCAACAGTGTTTTCAGAGGAAGACTATAAGAAGCTCAGGGAAAATTTTGTGTTAAATATTCAGAGGAATAATATGGCTACAATGCATTCGGAGATAGGGTCACAGAGCATTTTAATCACTATTCACCTGCATATGTCTTCGGCTACGGACAGGCATAAGAGTTAACGACTAGACGACTAGAAAACCAACTTATAAGATTATTCGGAAAAATGTTACCCATAGTATTGTGGCTTTATGATTCATGTATCTCATTTCACATGTTTCAAACATATTTGGATGTTAAAGCAAACGCTTTTATACTGCCTGCAGCACCAATTCTATCAAATAAACACTTTAGAAAAGATGGTTCTATGCTGCATTCTAGTGGTCGGTAATAAAACAGGATCAAAGGATGGATGTGAATTTCTAATTCGATGTAACATTAAAAGTGTCGGACATTCTATTGGGAGGGAAAAGTTGAGCATATATTGAGGACATAGTGGTATCGAAAGTCCTCAATGAAGAAACGCTAAAATCCAGGAATAATTTACAATCGCCCTTGTCCTTTCCAAGTTCTTTGACAACATGTAAGACGCTTGTACGCTGCTGGTCTGAACAGCCGAATTCAGAGGCGAGAATAAGGAGTTAATCCTGCCTTCAGTTTTCAATTGAAACAAGTGAGCTTTTCTAGCGGAGGTGCGCATTATAAATGTAGCGCTACCCTCGAGTTTGTAAGTTTGGATGCAAATCTTGTTTTCATCATATAATTATGTGAAATGAGGTAGTGTCAACCTCATATGAATAATCGTTTTTGGTAAGAATTCACCCCGGAGACTATAAATGTCTTTGAGGAACCTAATTTCTCCATAACAAACCTAAAAGTTTCTTCCATAGAATATAATTCCGCACTGTTTCCAAATAAATGCAATCTGTTCATTTTCCTCGTTATATCTTCGGTATACCTTATCTAATAATTTCATACAGTGTGTTTTAACTCTGCAAATGTCTTAAATTTAAATTTTTATGTTTGCAGAGTTAATTCATCTGAGTTGTGAAAAAAATATGACACTCCCCAATAAAGGCAGTTTTCTGTACAGACTAAATCATCTCCAGAGTCTATAAAACCATACTTATACCGACTAAGAGCATATGGCAGTCTACTATTGAGTAATAATAGGATGACGATTGGTACAATATTGTACGCATTTTCTCATTTTAGAGACTTCATCTAAATAATATTATTTAGATGAAGTCTCTAAAATAAGAAAATACGTATCAGTCGAAGAAAGGGTTTGAAATTCGATATAGCGAAGAATGTTTTCCGATGAGAAGTTAGTTAGTTGATTTTCCACCAGAGAAATATGTAGAGAGTGACAAAAAATAACTGCATGTCGCATGACGTTCAACCAGTAAAATTCACAAGCAGACATACCTTAGTTTGGAGTATGTGTTTGTCAATGCAATCTCCGATGTTGTGAAAATTTTATTCGGATGCACCACCGATGTCTTTTCCAATTCGCAATATCTTGTTGCAAATGATAAAAATCCTAAATACAGCAACTAAATAATCTAACATTAGAACTTATTACATGTGATAACTTTTTATGAGAAACATCCCTTTGCAGCTAATTAGTCTGGTATTCCATAAAAATCTCGATTCCGGAATGAATTTAATCACACGTCATTAAAACCATAGGATTGTGTATCAGTTTACTTCAAACTTTGGGTATTAAATGTGTTAGTGCTGACACCATAAGCGATAAAAAATTCCTCGCAGGTGCAAATACTCTAATACTCAGCCCTAGTGTATGCATATGTAAGTGCTCATTTTTGAAAGTCTTCCGTGTCGAATTTATTTGAACTTGGTCTGAATGCTTAACTTTCATCGCATTGCTTAATCGTCATTTTTCATTTGTTTATTTCATACAATTTTTTGGGGTATCTAACTCATCAAGATTCTTTAGATATGAGTTTGATTAGATAATAAATGCAAAATTATACCGGAGAAAGCCATGTATTGAGGACAGTGTAAAAGATAAATAACTTATTGATGAATTCCATAACTGCTTTTATTATTGTATCATATTTTTCTCATTAGTTTACTCTTGTTTTTGAATAGAGGAAATACACATAAATCCCCCATTGAGGACGTTTGCCGATGAGCTAATTTTCATTAACATATATAAGTGAACTGTTGTGTTTTCTAGAGACACGATGATCGGGGATTATTATTTGCAAATATAAACATTTTGAATTTGTTACGTTTTAAATGGAGCTTCAAAACTGCTAATATATTTCTATGTAGATTGCGATTTTACTATTACTACAATTCAATTACTTGTTAGAATTAGCACAAAGTTACTTGCGAATGTCACTTTTGGTTATCTATTGTTAAGTCAACGCCTTCAATCTAATCTTACTTATATGCGGGCTCTGCACAATACCAGGGATAAATTATCTCTAAAATTCATTCACTATTTGATTTTAAGTGAGTCTGAAAGTTATATAAATATAGTATTTATCAGATTATGTGCATTCCATTGTTTATCTTTAACCCATATTTCTAGTATCTTCCCTTGCGCTGCTGACTCCAATGTAGCAGCTTGTAAATTCTACATAAATCGTCAATGAATAGTAGTTGTGTCATTGGTAGTGACAGTTTCACCTCAAAGCTGCTGAAATGTTGGACGGAGTTTCTGTCGGTGCGCAAATCACTTTGCAGAGAACCTGATGACCAAAATTATTCAGAAATTTTAAAAGAATTCACGGAAGCTGAAATTACAAATGTTATTCGTGTGACGCTTAATGACCTTATTTCACCTTCCAACACCAAGTCCGTAGACTCCCATGAAGTAATAGCATACTACTTTTTCAAAGCTCTGCTTATTTCTGACAAAAACATAGAAAATGAATCAGGAGATTCAGTAACAGATGAAGTTGAAGAAAACTCCCAGACAGTCATCGTTTTCAGGGTAAGTAAATAGTTTATTCGTTCCTGAGTAATTTTCATTTTAGGAGACATTTTATACGGAACTCTTTTCCAAAATTGATTGTATCCTCGAGATACTCTTGAAAGAAGTGTCGAGCAATGCAATGAAACATCCAGTTAGCTGCATGTGCGTTGCTATTGGACTTATTTCTGATTTAATAAAGGATCCTTCTTTAACTTCTCTATCACTTTTTCATCTCGAAGAAATGTGGCATAAATTTGGTGCATTTATCAAAAAACTTGTTGAACATATTGTAAGTATAAATAGAGAAGTTGCAGTTTTATTGTTGGTAAATACCATTATTCATAAACCTTTATAATTTGTGGCTAGTTCAGTCATCAGTTTCTGTGAAATGCGTTTGCGAACCTCCTTAAATGGCATTTTTATATCTGTTTAAGTCAGTTTTGTTTTCCCTGTTGGTTGGTTGTACGGAATTTTTCGATGTCTTTTGACATGTTGATTCCTAGTGCGGACTCTTCGACAATATCCAACCAATCAATGGGAGAAATAAAATTCATTTAAACAACTAATAACTGATACCCATCGCACAAGAGGTAACTCTTGTGGTCTAGTGAATAACGCTTTGTCGTTTGAAATGATGGGTACTGGGTCTGAGTCTCAGTGGAAAAATCATCGCTCATTGGAGATTGCATATGCATCTAGCCGATAAGTCCAAATAGGATTCAGTGCGCATCCTGGATTTTATTGCTAGTCACTATCCACCAAGTATTAGTATTCTTGCATTTTAAAATATTCATTGTTCATTATTCGCTGATTGACTCAGAAAATCAATCACTTATTTTTTTCGTTCATCGTATAGCTTCAAGAGGTTTTAATATTTTTCGCATGTTTACATTCGTCTTTTAACATTTCCAAAAGCTCAAATTTCTTGGATGGTAGGTAGACAACACAGAAAATAAGGACCGATGATACTCCCTAGAATAATTAAAATGACTGCATTAAATTTACTTCCCGTATTGTCTTCTGTATACACAGTTTCAAGTCAGAACTTAGTCAGTTCTAGGTCACCATGCTTTCTGTCACTGTTCCAGGGATTCAGAATGACGTTTGTCCACGGTTTTAGATTGGAGACACTGATTAACACGAGGATGACTGTTCTTTTAATGTTGTTGTTGAAAAACTTGATCACTTTGTGTAGCTTGATACAAAGTTGGCTTGAACTTTTGTATATAACGAAAACTCAACACACATAACCATGTATTTGTTTCAGACTCGACCATAATGTAAATGTGATATAAATTAAAAATGTATAGGCCAGCAAAGACTATTCTTTTCGTAACTTCTCGTCAAAGCTGTGTAGTTAAATAGTGTTTCGAAAAGGTCATGGAAAATACCAGTGCAGGTTAATTATTTATATCATTTAGTAACAAAGACTATTTTTCGACTTGTACGTTGATTCATTTTCATGCATTTTTATCCTCTTTCTTTTCAATCTCCCAGCTTTAAAATATAGTTTATACATATTCTGAATCTCATACTCTTATGAACCATATTCCTGTTTTCGAGTGCTTACAGTTTTAGTGATAACCGTTTTTGAACGCTATTCATCACTTAATGTTTTCTGACTATGTACGGTCCACTTAAATAAATTTCCGTAATTTGTCCAAGTTTTCTTCCTTGTATGTGATTTAATGTTTTATTACCAAGTGGTATTGATAACTGCCCACTATTTAATTGTACAGCCTTGAATAGAGGTTATAAGAAAAATTTTTTTCTAACCTGTCTTTTTGGTTCATAGCGACCATAATACTTAACTGGTTTTAGATTTCGTTGACGTTAGCATTAATACAACCGATCAGAATTGAGAACAACAAAAGACAAGAAAATCAATTTAACTTATCACTCGTTACATTGGGAAACAATAGTGTCTAATAGGCGTGGCTTTTGTAGGATTTCTAAAAATAATCACTAAATACATAATATAAATAGTCCAATCATTACTAAAAATGATTTTATAGCATGAAAACGGTGGTCTGAATAAATACATTTGTAGGGAAATAAATGTATTTCCAAGTAGTTCCATTAGGTTGTTTCTGGGAGATGGAAGTGATTAATGTTAAAATAGTTTTTATCACAATATTGTGGTCAATTTTGAAATCATTTTTAGTCTTATATGACGATCTCATCTGGGACTACATTGTATAATGTAGTAGTGTATATAACTTGCTAATTGGTTGATAGAGTGGTTGAAAATCACACATGTCAAATAGCAGTGCTTACTAACCAGGTTGAAGTGATATAAACACCAGAGAGTCGTTTCTTTCGGTTGAGACCAAACTCGTTCGTAATGTTCCTAGTTAAACCGAGCTCAGCGAGTTGAGTCAGTTTCTACCACCCAAGTTTTGGCAAGCTACATTGGCGAACTTGTGATGGATGGAATCAAATTCATCGTTTGCAAGTTACACAATTTGAGATGAGCTGAATGAAATTGGGTACATCACTGATGAACGAAATGGTTATCTGGAGTTTATATCGCTTCGACGTGGCTACCAAGAACTACTGTTTGGTGTGAGTGGTTGTTTCCTACTGTTCATTTCAGTCAGTCAGTAAGTAGTATATACCGTCCGCTGTTTCACTTGCTTTCTTGTTTGCCATTTATCATATCAAACAGATGATATATTTGGTTTCCAAAGGAATCTGTGGGGATTTCTCACGTTAAACTGTGTAATTTGCAAAAGATGAATATAAGTACATCTTATAACCAGAATGTTCACACGGTAGTTCATCTACGCATTAGACACTCTACCCGTGTAACAGTATTGAAATAAATACAACTTGAAAGCCATTTTTAGATGTACATTTATAACTCATGTAGTAAATCGTGTAATTTACAGACTATGAATCGTGGGTTCAAATCTCACTGCACTTAATTCGTCCAGCATGACCGGTTACTACTTTTAGTTTTCACATAAAATGTGGCTCATTACTCAGTGTATGAAAAAACACATCGAATAACTGACTTGCGTTATATTTATTCACTTATTGTATCCTAGTACCACATTAATTTTTCTTTTATTAGTCCTTGATGGAAATTGAGAATTACCATTTGTCGGTTAAAGGATCATGTGGAGCCTTTAAAACAAAACAATTTAGTTTATCTAATACCCTGCAATGATTGTCAGGTCAAATACATAGGTCAAACTAGTAGAACAGGGGCAGTCAGACTAGCCGAACATAAAAACCTAGCAAAATCTAGATTGGTTGACCCAAATAAGATAAGAAATCTAGAGAATAGTTCAGCTATAGCACTCACTACATGCAGTTACACACTGCCATACAATAGGATGACAGTTTTAAAATCCAATGTGACATGGTGGAGAGAGAGATTGATAATAGAAGCTTTTTTTATCGAATCAACTGCAAATACATTTAATAGGAATGATTTAACACCTATCCCAGATATCTGGAAAATTCTACTACCCATTCGACAAATAGAAGACAAAGAAAACTATAAAACTCAAGTTTCAAAGTTGTGTGATTACAATTGATATGATTATGAACAATAGATTTTATTCGAAACGTCATCCATTAAATAATACTGTTTCACTGTGTGATACGTCTAATAAACAAACTAATGTGGCAGAATTACCATTTGAACAAAGCAATAATAATAAACTGAGTAGCACAAGAAGGAGCCTTGTTAACGCGACTTTTAACCTTAATTGGTTATGTCATCTTTTAATAAATGCAAATGTTCATTTCTCTTCATCCTTACTTAGTTGCATCATCGATTATTACACATCGTGCTTTGCATGTCTGATATCTAACCAAATGAAGTTGTTTTACAATATATTTCTAATGACTTACGAAATGTTGGTGTTTTGTCGCTACCCGTTCTCCCTACTTTTTATTTTATTCGAGGAACTTCAATCACATTAACCATACAAGTACAGCAGTAATTTTTTGTCTTGCTAACTTAACATTTGGATTCATGTATATACCATGATGGTGGCCTAAGTGGTCTAGTGGATAGTATCGGTGGTTCAGCGGTGGTATGCTTTGCCAACTACACATGTGGTCCGGGGTTCGATTCCCAGCCAGTTCACTCGTAAACCTCACCTAACCGGTAGTAAGCCCAGGGAAGAGGGAAGATTGGGTATGGGACTAGCTGCTCTACCCCGTAAAAATAACAACACCACGACTACTGAAACTTTAAGGCATCAGACCTAAAGCCGTAGGTTTCACTCGGAAGGCAATGAATAAAAGAAATATACCACATTCATTCTTAATTATCTTCCCACCTTGTATCTCCAATGAACTAAATAAAGTATGTTAAAGTTTTAGTAAAACTATCAACTTTCATGATTCAGGTCCCGTGCAGCAGACAAGAACTGATAGCATAAAAAAGGATCCTATTTGTCCTGTTCCATATGTTGTTATTGATTTGTTCAAATTCAATAAAGGATATTCATGTGTGAAATAATTACTATGTCTAATTACTATATCAATTACTATCTTAATTACGAATAGTACATACGAAATATATTCTTAAATCTGGTTTGTTAGTAACTCATTTCCTTTAAGACAGCCCTTGTATGTCATATTTTTCTGAGTACTTGTGTACTGTATTTATTTATCTCACTTTTTGCCTTTTTCATTTAAACTTTTTCTGAGTAGCCTTGTAATTACTCAACAAGATAACCACATATGTATTGTGGAAACCAGCATCATACTTTTCGTAAACCTGACCTTTTTATTTCCTCCTGATATTCTTAGCTCTTCCTACGGGATAGCCGCCATCAGATTTACATGTTCATGAACCAGTGTCTTTTATTATCAGCCTGTTGATGTGTTATGATTGTTCAATAATTATTCTTCTTTCATTTTCTTTTAGATGGTAAATCAAAACGGTATTGCGAATAGTGATCAGGATGTTTTCCTATTCGATATTTTTCGTCTCTGGAGGTCATCTCTAAAGGCGTACGCTGAGATTGACAATCAAGGGATGAAGGGTACAGAGACTTCTGCATTTACTGTAAGTATTCTATCTGTCCTGTAGAATGAATATTATTTACCCTCAAAACAGTTAATCAACAGAAGTTCCCAGTAATTATGCAGGCTTTATAAGTGTATCTAACCTCACCTACTGTACTAGCCGGTTCTAAGTCTGGAAAAAGAGGGAAGGCTAAGCATGGAGCTGGCAACCCTACCACAGAAACTTCAACACAGGGAAAATTTAAAAAATAAATTTATTCTTCGCCGGGACCGGAAAGATAAAGTGACGCGAACTGATGGAAGTTTTCGGGAAGCCAGTCAGCCAATGTGTCTTCTCCCGAGGAAAGCAAAAACAAACACGGATATATATATAATGTTTTCACGATGTTTGAAGCTGGGAAGACTGCTCAAATTGTGAAAGAAACGAGAAGATACCGTTTATAAATGTATGAATTCTTTAAAAGTAGATAGAACAGAAGTGGATTCTCCAAATTGTTAACTGAAGAGTCGACAATCTACTCCGTTCACACAACCGATAACCAAGAACCCACTGAATGAGTGACTATCATGATGTTACCAACAGTATAGAGGGCGTTTAGACAGTTGAGTAACGTTGAGTACCAGGCCTTTGGGTGGGAAACGACGAGTCACCCGTGTATGGATGACATGGGGGGAGATGATGTGAGGAGGAAATGAAAGCTTATAGGAAATCATGGAACCAGATGAAAAGTGGACTGTTAAGAATAGGATGAAATGGAGATGTGCCGCTGGAACCCTGTTTTCCACTTGGAACTCAAGGTAATAACCGTAATGATAATAATAGGTGTAGGTTCATTTCTAGTTATCAGATGATTTATTGGCAATATTTATTATTAGCTTGTCGACAATCCAGGTTTTGGATATTCTAATTATATATTGGTATCTGTTTTGCTTCATTTTCCAAAAATATCCTTAAAATCATGGTTACGGTGTAGTGGTAAGCATTCTTATTCCCAATGATATATGATAGAAGAGGATGAATAATTTACTTATACTTCACTTCTAGTTATTATCCTGATTGACAGTTAAAAGCCTGACACCTGATATACATCGTACTAATCCTTACAAAATCTGAAGAATTAAGGCACCACACTGAGAAGAGAAATATCGAATACAATTGATGAATAGGTAAATGAAAAGGAAAATAAATACATTTCAAACATTATAGCCCAGTTTAAGATGTTGTGTATACGGTTTATTATTATTATTATTGTTTCCTTTAATTCCTAGAGGAACATAGCGCTTCAGCCGTGCGTCTCCATTGCGTTCGGTTCTCTGCTAGAGTCTTCACCTGGCTCCAAGTCTGTCCACACGTTTTCATCTCCTCTTCACATGACCTCCTCCAAGTCACCCTTGGACGACCAACTCGCCGCTTCCCTTTCGGGTTCCACTCGAGCAATGGCTTGTCTAGTGATGTCACTTGATGGTTTCCTCAGAGTATGGCCAATCCATCTCCATTTCTTCCTGCCTATTTGTTTCACAATCGGTTCCTGGTTGGTTCGCTCCCAGAGATCCCCCTCTGTTGCTGATCTTTTCTGGTCGGCCATCTGATCTTGAGTATTGAGCGAAGACAACTGTTAATGAAGGTCTGTAGTTTGTTTGAGATGCTCTTTATGACGCGCCAAGTCTCTGATCCGTATAGTAGCACTGACTGACTTCACATTGGAGTTGAAAATCCGGATGTTATTTTTGATGCTGAGTGCTGTTGACCTCCACACAGACTTGAGAGTAGTGAAAGCTTGTCTTGCTTTCCCGATTCTTGCTTTGATATCCTCGTCAGTTCCGCCTGTAGTTGAAACGATGCTTCCCAGGTAGGTAAAAGAGGTTGTTTCGTATACGGTTTGCAACCTCATATTTTATCCATTTAGTCAGAACTACAGTTCACTAAATGTTTCATATCTATGATTATGAACTATTACAAAAATTCCTATTTAAAACACCAAAAGACTGAGAAAAGAATATTCTTTTCGATAACTTCTTCATTTAACTCTACAGTCATAGTATTTAAAGAGAAATTACTATTGACAACACTGATGTGTTTTTCTAAATCGTACCGAGTTGTAGAAATCAGTAAAATTATTGTTCAAAAGCAATGTGTAAATGACAAAAAGCATAAAGATGTGAATATCAGATAAAATTAAGAAAATTTCTGCGGGACACAGTTTGACAGAAAGCGGACAAAAGTGAAATCAATATTTTAAGTCAATGACTGCAGATATAGAAGTGTTTATTCCTCAAATCTGGATTTAGTTAACCTTGTGGACATGAAATAACCTGATTGGACAGACAGTGTCAACCAATCAGAACAATTTATTTTTCTCTGATGTAGCTGAATTTTAATGTGGCTAAGAATGTATAAATATATACTTTTCCTTGATAAAAATGTCCGTTACCAAGTCTCTTATCTTCCGCTTCTACAAAGTTAAAACAGTAATAGCTTGTGAAAAGCTTGGTGGGAAAGAGAGAATGTCAAATTTTTACAATCAACTGACGATGGCCAAGATAAGGAAAGCGGCTGTACAAACTTCTTGTGAACACAAGTTTGGCTTCTTCAGGTGAATTCCGATGGTTTCAGCTATATGTAAAAGATGAACCTGTAAGGCAAAATTAAGATTAGCCTTTCGAAATACAACAGATATTTTAAATTCCATGTGAATATCGACTTTTTGTTCAGTATCTACAAAGTGAGCTGAAACAAAGACACAAATAGACCTTTTGTCCCTTGTTTAGTGGATAAATTCTATATACTTGTGTAATCAATTAATTCTTTCTCGGTCAGCCATTTATGACCATATATTATGTATGTGCTAGTCTGTAAGCCATACTTACTATGTAAGGCCTCATGATACTACTCAGTTGCTCAAACTAAAATAGATGAAATGGGACCTTAGCCGTGGTCAACACTATACCTGATCTAACAGTGAAGTAGTAATTTATCTCATGCTTTTTATCCCTTAGACATTAAACAACACTTTATGTTATATCTCACGTGATCACATGTTTTATTTGGCTTTAAATCCACAAGCAATTAGTTTCAAAGCTAGTGGCTGACTCAATTAGTCTCACCTCTACTTGATGTATCAGGAAATCTCGGATACTTCGGACTTTGAAAACCTCAGGTACTTAAGTTGTACACTAGTTTGATTTCAAGTAATCTTCAATATATATATATATATATATATATATATATATATATAGAGAGAGAGAGAGAGAGATTGAGCTGCCTATCCAGTCGCCAGATAGTATCAAAGACGTTACTCAACGGTTAACAAATGATCAAATGACTGGTAGCCTGTACGGGAAAATTGTGTAATTGAATTCTTATCTGGAAACTTTGCTCAAAAATCCTGAATGGCACTGTGTAAACTGCACTTCTCAAGATTGATCACAGTGAGTCCAAGTTCAAATCAAAACGAAACTGACTACAAAAAACATCGTGATATCCAAGGGGTACTGAATAAAACAGCTGTTTAGTCCTCATTTAAGACTCTTCAGCTGTACACACATGAGGTCGTCTGTTTAGAGCGAATCCCGAATTGTTAAGTTATGCCGCTAGTCATCATAATTATTGTTCCCTTGGGTTCTGAGTGGAACATAGAGCTTCAACATCACGTCTCCACTTTGTCATGTCCTATGCGGTCATCTTTAGCTGAACCCACGATTACCTATAATCTTTCATATCCTCCTTAAACGAGCTTCTCCATTTCACACTCGGATGACCCACTCGTCGTTTTCTACTCGGGTTCCACTCGAGTGATAGCCTGGCGCTCGATGTCACCTAACGATCTCCTCAGAGAATGTCCAATCCGTCTCCACTTCTGCATATCTTTTGAGCAATCAGTTCTTGGTTGGTTCGTTCCCTGAGTTTCTTGTTGCTGACTCTTTCTCGTCGTCTGATCTTCAGTATCGAGAGAAGGCAACTGTTGGTAAAAGTCTGCAGTCTGTTGGAAATCCTTTTCGTAACACGCCAAGTTTCTGACCTGTATATAAGAACTGACTGACTTCAGATTTGTGTTGAAAATCCGAATCTTGTTTTTATGCTGAGTGCAGAAGATTTCCCAACTGGTTTCAGGTTGATGAAGGCGTACCTTACCTTTCCGATTCTGGTTAGCTTTGACATCTTCATCTGTTCCTCCCGTGATTGAAACGATGCTTCCTAGATAAGTGAAGGAAGTAACCTCTGTCAAATTTCTCCCGTTGACGGTGATTGGTGCTGGTTGTTGTTGTTGCTGCTGTTGGTTGGTTGGTTATCTTCATCACCTCCGTTTTCTCTATGTTCACCTGAAGTCCTGTCTTTTGTGCTTATTCTACCAGTTGGTTGGTTTTCGCCTGTTAACCTTCAAGTTTGTGTGACATTAAACATAAATCATCCGCGAAATTCGGATTTTGTAGAGTCTTCTTATCGGTCCAGCGTATCTCTGTGTTCTCGCACCCCACCATAGTTAGGAATGTCGTCGGTGACAGTAGACAGGCAGCCCTGTCTTACTCCTGTATTCACTTCAAACGTTTCGCTGAGGTTTCCGCTGTGGATCACCTGACACGTGGCATTGTCATATAGCTGTTGAATGAGGTAAATAAAGATTTGAGGTACTGCATAGTGTTGAGGGAGTTTCCAAATTACTTCCTGATCAACGCTATCGAAGGCCTTTACGAATTCGATGAAGTTAAGGTAAAGATTTAACTGCCATTCTATGCTCTGTTCGATGAAGATGCGTAAAGTTGCAATTTGATCTGCACTTGTATCCTGAATCCAGTTTGTTCCAGTCGGATCTTTGCATCCAGTGCAAAAATTTCATATTGTCAATGTTTAAATCCACTCCCAGGTAACTTGAATAATCCTAAAAAAAATCCTGTAGCTGATTAACTCATTTTTGATTTTCGCTCAAAGTGTCAATGTTCACTTATTGAAATTAAATTGAATTGGTATAACAAACTACTTACTTCATCTAATTTGTTTATAAAATACTTTCTGTGTATTAGTAAGTATTCTTGTTCGTCTGT